TGCCACTGAATCCAGGCGTGCCAGCCCTGAACCTTAATGCCACTGAATCCAGGCGTGCCAGCCCTGAACCTTAATGCCACTGAATCCAGGCGTGCCAGCCCTGAACAAATATTCAGCCGTTTCCCAAGTATCAAAGATCAAGTATCTTGATCTTTTAAGCCGTTTCCCAAGTATCAAAGATCAAGAAAAGTATCAAAGAATAATCAGTTCAATTCTCTCACTTCCTTCTATGCCACATGCAATTAGGGATGCAGTTAGAGATTTTATGCCCCATAGAAGCATATTATACTGGGCCGACAACCCAGATCAATCTGATTATGTTCCCAAATTTTAGGGCCCCTGTGATTCTGGGACCTTGGAATTGCCCTAACCGCCCCATCCTATATGGTGCCCCTGCATCCACATAACTGAATAAAATATATATACTGTACACACAGACACACATATATATGAGCAATATACATTTATGTACCGTGTGTGTGTGTGTATGAATATTTGGACCATATTTGGAGTAACCTGGAGAAAGGTTAATGTTAACATTTAGTAGATTTGTAACTATAGTGTCTTTTGCATGTTTTATGACCTGAATAAATAGCTTTAATCAAAAAGGTGCTGCAATGAAGTGATGAATTGCAAGGTAATAATGGCTGGTCTGCCTTTGCATGTGTGTGCAAAGACCCCTGTGTGTGAGCGGCATCTGGGTGAGACACGATGACATTCCCCAGCCAACCCACTGCATTGTGGGTAACCGGTCCCCTCTCATGCTGTATAAAAACCATTCCCACTCTGTCTTCTGTCTTCACAGTGACAGACAGTAAGGAAAAAAGCATGTACACCTGAACATACTGAACAACAGAGGACACGGTTTAAAGGGGAAAAAAAAGAATTGCACAATATAAGTACTTGTGGTGAATATTTTAAGGAATCTATACACAGAGAATTACAGTGTGAAAGTGGGGGGTAATGTGTTTGGACCTTTTTCCGAGGCGTCACAGGGACCACTGGATACCTAGCCTTGTGGATGCGTTCTGGGAGCCTCTGACGGATATCTTTGCAGACTGTCTCCTCTACAATGGCCTCTGAATGTGAAAAGTGTCAAGGCGCTGCTTCTGATCCAAAGTGGGCTCTGTTTTAGCATTCTCTGGGCGCATTAGAGACACTGCACCTGTCCACCTCTGACAATGCAAGCTTCAGCCCCGTTCCTTCTGCTGCTTTCCTGTGTAAGTCAAATTTTCATTTTTCATCTTCTAATGGCCAAGACCTGGTCAACTAACTGAGAGTCTGCCATAGGTTTCCTTGTTTATTGTTGAAAAAAATGATGTAATCTGATTGCTTTAGAAGCTATGGAATATAATGTGATTCCATAGATAAAATACCTTAAAATGAGGCAAAGTTCAATATTATTGGTAAAATTTAGCCAGACTTTGGCCTGGTTTGTGGTCATCATTTTTCCCCATATTTTGGAATCGGGGCAAATCCACCACCGAGTGTTAAAATGTGTCTGTGTTCTGTGTTCACTCCGCTGGAGAAATGTGTCAGTTCTTTCAGGAGCTAACCATCTGGTGAATCAGGCACATCCTGGATGAAAACCAAAGCCCTTATCACCTGCCTGTGAATGGACACTGGCAAGAGAGAGCAATCTTTCACAGTCATGTGACAGTCTCACAGATCAAACGATGAAAAGGCTGAATTATTCTGCATGCCATACTAAGCCAGACATCGGCATAAAATAACAAACATAGCTCTTTATGCTTCACCATATTTTACTGCTCTTTTTTATAAAAGCTTTTCAGACAGATTTTTATTTGGTGCTCTTATTTGTTCTTTAAGTGAAGCTGAAACAGAACTGAACCAAATTGTGTAAGAGTAACCTTGGTCACTAATTTATTTACCTCAATCAAAAAAAGTACATTTTGTGTATAATATGGCCCACCGCTCTAGGGCTGCGGGTTCGATCCCTCTGGGTACTCTGGCCCTCTCTTATTTTCTCCCACAATCCCCTTGCTCATTCTATCCCATGCTTCCTAAAATAGGCTCCAGGATCAGCATGACTGGATAAGCGATTAAGGAAATTAGATGGATGGATAACATGATAATTTTAAAATAGTAAATTATAATTATATCTCAGCAAAATTCCCTCACAAAGGTGAATTAATTTCCACTCTGGTGCTTAGCCCTGAAATTGACAGTCAGACACCAAAATGTACAGAGAAGTTCACAATACAAAAAGTCCTGTTTTCTTCAAGCTGGTCAAGAAATAGACTTGATCGATATATAAGTTAGCACTTTGATGATAAAAAAAAAACATCTCTGTAAATAACATTTAAAATGATAAAAAAAAATAATGGTTCCTGAGTGTGTGTGTGTGTGTGTGTGTGTGGATTAGGTTTATATTACATTGTGGGGACCAAATATCCCTCACAGTGTGTTTAAAAACCTATTGTTTGACTTTGTGAGGGACCATTTTTCAGGTCCCCACAAGGATCTGTGAATGCAATCAAAAAAGTAAAAATTGTATTTTCTTACTTATGGTTAAGGTTAGGGCTGGGTAGGGGTTAAGGTCGTCATGTTGGTCGTCAAGAGTTTTCCCCATAGAAATGAATGGAGAGTCCCCTCAAAGATATTACATTAATTACAAACCTGTTTGTGTGTATTTGTGTGCGTGTGTGTGTGTAGGATTTCAGGTGTGGATTTTGGCACTGCTTACATTACAGATATATCCATGTACAGGACTGGCAATCCCACTTCAACGTGACTAATGCGTTCCTGAAAAACCTCACATTCACGAAAATTGGGGGGAAATCGAAAATACGAGATGAGAGCAAATCAATGTCACTGCGATGTTGTATTTACTAGTGGGAAATTCAGGACTTTCGTAAAGTCCTGAGTTCCCGAGTTGGGGGCGTGTCATTACAATAGTCATGGTGGAGGCAATGGATATAGGCTCCACTGTGAAAGGCAAATGATTTTGAAAGTAGTAAATTTTATGTAGCGTGTCATTGCAAAACTCTTAATTTCTTTGAATGTCGAGGAGATTATTAAATTATGTAGCTTGAAAAATAATGACAGGTTTTTGTCTTACTATTAGATACATACTGTAGGCCTATACTGTAGCTTGTCAGCTCCCTGATGTTTGAGCAAGGGATTATGAAAAGTTCAATTAACAGGAATGCGTTTGGCAGCAAAACAAAAAGTAGCTCTCAACGCCTCCATTTTGCTCCGAATTAACCACTTGAACACGCGTCATGTCATAATTATGATTAACCAACTCTCTAGTCGGATTATCTACGTAGGACTTGCTTGCAGCATAAAATATACACATATCCAACTGGGAAATTATGGTTAAGAGAATGCGACTCCAAAACTGATTAACTTACATCAAACAAAATTAATGAGTTAATTAAAACAGTGATACCAGTGGCCAATGACATAATTATATGCATTTTAATTAATATGTTAATAAATTATATTACAAACATCTTCTATGGATAGTATGAGACTCACAAGAATTGCATAGTAACTTCAACGTAACGAACTGACTGACTTGTTCATTGCCGGTAGCCTGAGCTACAGCCACCATGCGGCTGGACATGCACACAGCACAAACACGACGGATTACGGTATGTGGAGGATCCCACCCAGGCTGTACCACAGGATATAGGCATCCCACCCAGGATGTACCACAGTATATAGGCATCCCACCCAGGATGTACCACAGTATATAGGCATCCCACCCAGGCTGTAGAGGTTAAATATAAAAATTCAATCAACATTTTTCAATGATCACTTATCTAGTTAGGGTCCAGAGAAAAGGGTACAAGGCAGGCATAGGGTATGAAACTAGGGCGGGGCGATTTATCTGTAAAATATCATTTTGTGATTATGAACAGTAAATATCATTATATGTACTTTGTGGTTTTTGTAATTATTTTTAGTCTTTTTATTCATATTCATAATCAAATTATATTATTCAATATTCCTTTGTCCATCACACACACACAAACACACACACACAGCATGGGTATTTGGCCGGTGAAGATGACAAAGGTTTTGGCATATTTTGGAAGAGCATCATTTATAATTACACCACTGAAAGTGGAAAGGGTACAATAAAAAAAACAATAAATATACAAATAAATAAGACAGACATGTGTTTAATAAAGTGTGGTTTAACCAATGGACTAGGAGGTCAGTGTACACCACTTGATTTTCAGATTATGTACTTCTAGTAATCAGCTAAACAGTCGAGTAATATGTCAGAGGGGGGAGGAATAGTAATAGATACTCCATCAATCCCTGTGGGAAAATTATTTTTATGCCTCCCCCCAACTTGCTCTCTACACGTATGAGCAAGCTGGCTGTGAAGGGCAGCCACCTGTTACAGCACTTAGGGAGCTGGGGGTTAAGGGCCTCACTCAAGGACCCATAAACATGTGAGGGGTCCTGGACCTGCAGCCTTCTGGTTACAGGCACAGAAGCTTAGCCTACTGAGCAACTTGCAACCCCCAAAGTCAGATGGAGGAAGAAATTTGAGGTGACAGCACCATTGTGCTTGTTCGATGTTCTGTCTTCATTCATAGTGAACACTTGATCCAATCACAAGCAAAAGGTCCTCTCCCACAAAGTGATTGACAGAGCACATAATTATTATAGAAGATGCATTATGAAATAATAAAAAGCTGGATCAGAAAACCATCATTTGAAAATATATGAATGTGATAAGTTTGCATTATGTAAAGTAATATCTTATGGCAGCGTAATGAAAATCACAGCATTATTTTGAAATACAGTTTTACGGATTATACATAGATGACATTAGTTATTTAGAAAAATACATTTTATTGAATTATTTAAAAATAAAAGGACACAATTAATTGTTTAAATATTTATTTATTCCTTTCTTTATATAGGTATATATTTATCACGTCATGAGCAAGGATGGAGGCAAAGGCAGGCATGGGGAAAACCAAAGGCGGCTTTGTTAAATGAACGTACAGGCAGGGTAAAAGGAAAATGGACCATGAGGGGTCAAAACGGGGTAGGAAGGATCGGGTACAGGGCACACGCAGGCAGCGACATCAGTGACTGGACTGGGGAGCTCAAGACAGGGAGGCATTATATACGCCACTGACGAGGGAGCAGACGAGAGGCACCTGGGGTGATCCACACAAGGGTTGTAACAAGAGGCAAGATTAAATAAGTAACAGATGTGGCTCATTTGAGCTACACAATGGAGAGAATGAGGGGAAAGGAATGCAGGGCATGACAATATTTATATATTATATACAGTACAGCTAGGAAATGTATTGTATTAACACATGGCATAGATTTTAAAGTCATAATGAATTAAATTAATTTGTACATCTGGTGTTTACGTTAAATCATAAAACAAATATTAAAATATGGGTCATTCTCACAAATGTGGGATTTTTTCCCCTTTATTTATACACTTTATAGAGGTACAGACATCAGTTCCCCACCCAAGGCACTTCTTAGTCTCAAGAAAGGGAAGAAAAGGGTCCTCCCTTTCAGAACTCTTTAAAGGCACCGAAATAACTGGGCTCCACCCCACTAAGACATCTACAAAGACTCCACAAAACTGATGACCAAGCTAACCAAGTTTTTATACACTTTTTGTGAGCTGGAACACAATGTTCCACAATGCACCTATTTGATCCACTGCAAAAAAGATAGTTTAGCTCTGGATAAGTGAAGACAATGCACAACCTTAAATTGCATAAGACCATTTCTTACACAAAAAGATGAGGCATGGATGTATCTAGCACTAGCAATTCTGCCAACACTCATCAGAAATCTCACAGCCAATATTATCTTCTCAGGCTTGGTGGAGGCCAGAGACAGGAGGTTTATTACCCTATTATACCTTTTTAGGTATATTAAAATCATGTCATTTGTTGCTCTGATTTGACATTTTAAACAATTTTCTCCAAATAGGTAGCCAAAAATTTGTAACACAAAATGCAGAAAATGTTTTTAAATATTTCAACTTCATTGCATGTAACCCACAATAAACAATCAGTTCGTATAAGATTAAAGATAAATTTTGCTCAGTTTTTTTTATTAGTTTTGTCATTTTTTTCTCATTAACTCAGTAACTTTTGCACTTGATTGGATGAAATATTTTGTTTATTGCATAAATGAGTGGTAACAAAACAGAATTGACCGTAGACGCAAAACTGACAGTTTTGACAATGAAGTATAATTTGAGGCTCTATTCAAACTAATTTTAAAAAATAGATAAAATTAATATCTTAAAGTTAATCAAGATTAATCACAGAAAGCTGTGAATTCCTATACATTTTTGTTATGGAATGCACTGTGCCCATTCACTACCAGTGACTGTAAGACTGTGACAGTTATTGAACGTGAAGTGCACATACAAACATTCAAATATTGATTAAAATTCTCCCGTAAGGTAATCTGGAAAACCAAGGGGAGTGCATGGGTTGCTATCAACTCAAAATGCTGAACCTGATCTGTGAACCTGACTCATAACCTACTCTGGAGCCAGTTAGGCATGTAGCATGAGTTGTATCGCTAAGAAGAGAACCAGCGTTGTGAAATCAGAAAACTGGAGTTGCCTCTACTTAGCCTCAAAGTTATCCATGTAAGTAAGAAATCCGGCTTTGTGATACAGTCCCCTGCTTTTTCCTTGTAAATCACATTTACACAGCCAGCCATTTAACTGTCTCTATGCCCCCAGTGCTATTATTATTTTCAGGCTCCATAAAACATGCTGTTAGCTTTGTAATCCCATCATGCCCTGGCAAATGGGCATGATTTTAATACTAATTCTGTATAATTCAAGCCAACACACTGCTTTTTACAATATACCAGTCAAAACGTTGTTTTCCTGACAATATTGAATATTCTCATAAAAATATGGGCCACTTGCAAAAGAGCTTGTTGAGTGGTTAACTTTATAGCTATTCTCTCCATTGGGCAGGGTATATTAATGGAGATTTACTTTTCAGAGGTCATTGATGATAATGGTACTTGAGACGTTCAGCTGTAGAGTACTGTGCATATTCAACCTACAGTACCAAACGCAAGGGAAACGTCTGAATTACTCTGAATGAAAACAGGGCAGAAGTATTTTGAATTTTGAATAATCTGCTTCTGAGAAATGTTTATATCAGATTATATTTACTTTTTCTTTGTAATACATAACATAAACACCGGCCAGAAGTCTGTGTGTAACACAAGCGGTTTCATAAAAGGAGGTTGTATTTTTTTCAGCAAAATAAAAAACGCGCCTTGTATACTGTAGCTATTGTTCTATTAACTGCGTTTCCATGTTCATTTTGAATTTATTCTCCTTGACTTCTCTAAAACAATAAATATGGCTGTACTCCACGGTTATTTTTTATTATTATTGTTATTGATTTTATTTTATATAATAAACTATAAAATGACCAGAACAATTATAAGCCTATATATTTTCTGTATTTTGGTCTCCCGCTGTTTTCTGACCCGGTGTTTTGTCGAGTTGAACTAGCGTAGTGCTAATCGATAGCTCTAACCCTAACCCCCCAAAAAACCCTAACCTTAACCTTAACCGTAACCCCTAAAACCTAACTCCAAGATGGTGGAACTGCACACGGTCCGAAAGGCTCGATAGCACGTCTCGATATGTAGCTCAACTCGTCAGAACACCTCGATCAGCTGTATCCATCTCTCTTTTAGGTTATAATTTTATATTAAAGTATTGATCACACTGAAAGCCCTTTAAGATTAAACACGTACACAGATATTGGGTTAATGTGCTCTAATTTCATTACAGCTTTACAGTTACTGATGTTATACCTTGTGCTTTAGCTAATGCTGTCCTATTGTCGGGATAATTCACTGCGCTGCGTGCCACCCGTACTGTACAGACACAGCCACTGGGAAGTTTTTCCTTCTTTAATTTCTGCAGTATTCCATGACTTCCTCAAGCTTTTTATCTTGTGACGTTAAAGTCGCCGGCTTGTTCCTAAAATACCATGACGAGTCCTCGGGGCACTTCAGCTGCACCTTGTAAATTTGTTGCGGCGGTTTTTGCAGGCATCGTGCGCTGTGTTATTCGGGCTGCCTGAATGGGTAACGCGCTGGCGTCAAGCCTTCCGAGCTGGGCTTCGGTTCTTGCCTCTGGCTCTGTGCGAGTAATTTGCATGTCCTCTCATTGTTCCTGCAAGTTTCCTCCTGCACTCCAAAAATACGCGAATGTGTAACTTGCGACGGACATGTATACCGTCAAGGGTGTCTCATGTCTAGTGGTGTCTAGGATAGACTCGAGACTCACCCTGTACTGGGACAAACTGGGAGGTGAAGAAGGTTAATCATCAATATTACACTTCACTTAATGTATGTTATGTAGATTACATTATAAAATATAGCAGTTATATATACAAATATAGAAACATCACCTGCAAGTGAAATCCAGACACACAGGAGGTCCACTACTGTCTATTAATCTAAATTTAGATGTTTGACGAATGTGTCACATTGTGAAGTTGCTATTGACAGCTGAATATAATAATATATGGCACCAGAGGGAAATGAAGTCCTTGCTGTGTATGAAAAGAAATGCTGCTATATACAGTACATGAATAATATAAGGTATATGAGGCCATGGTAGTATACTGTACCAGTAGTATCATCTGGCTAGCTATGCACCACTAAGCAGGTTAATGGGCTTTTCATGTAGGGTAGGGTAATCTTCTGGATGAAGTCATTTTTAAGCATGATAATAATAGGGTTATCTTGTCTAATAAAATTAATAAATGTCCCCCTCTCTCAGCTACTCAACACCTTTTTACTTAATTATTTTTAATTTGTATGAATGCACCATGTTTGCAAAATGCATTTCTAATGATGTTAAAATTATTCTATCCAGCAATGAAGTACATGGGTGTTCAAAGCAATATGGGTTACCATTTTAAAGGGAATTGTCGACAGTAAATATCGGTTCATTTTTAATCATCGGTTGATGGACGATTGTTGCAACAACCTAACTCAGCTACAGTATCTAGACCAGGGCAAACAAAAATAATCAGCTGCTCTGGCTACCTGATTGGTACAACACCCATCCATCTTCCACCTGTTACCAAGGATTTCACTCTCTGTTTTTGGGAGTTTACTCCAGTCACTTTACTCTGAAATTAAAAATCAAGATTGTCATCATATAAATTTAATTTCAGTATGAAAACCAATGTTAGTTAGCTTGCAAATGATGAAATTCAATCCCAAGGCACTTTCGATGTTGTATCTTTTTTACTTTTAATGATATTGTTAACTCATTATGACACCCTAGTATTTATTTCTGTTTTTAGAAATGATTAAGATTAGAGGTGATTGTTGCAATAGAATACAGTTTATTAATTAATACAGCTAATTTTCACCTCTTTTTTTGACTGTGAAGTTGACAGGTGTAAGCAAACAAGCTGAAGTCATGATACCATCAAGAAGTGTTGGGAACCAAACGCTGGGATCTGCCCAAAGACAGAAGGTTGTAAAGTTGGGTCCTACAGGACAAAGGATTGGGATGGGAAATAAAGGAATGTCAGGCGTCACAAAGACTTCAGATGACATAAAAACCACAACAGAGGGACCTGTAACAGAAACCTTGACAGAGCCTTTACCTCCACTGTCATTTCCAGAAGGGATCGTGAGACTGGCTGGTTCAGGAACACTCAGTAAGAACTACAGAACTACTGATAATCCACCTTTGTCAGCCCCAAGCACAATTTCAAACCCAACATCACAGAAAGCAGGCAAAGAAGAGATCAAGACTCCTACTGAATCAGTGGAAAACACCATTCCATCTCCTGCAGATCTAGAAGGTCAGACTGAACTGATGAGGAGTCCCGAGACAGGTGATTCAGAAGATGTTGTAGGTAAAATTGATGGACCAAAAAATTTGTCAGAAAGAACACAAACGCAGAAGTCACCAGATTCCAAAGGGAGAGTTCTTCAAACAGAAAGAAGAGAGTCTGCAGGGACAAGACATTTTACAAATGAGAAAGCAAATTCCACTGTGTTACAAATATTACCTTCTCAAAATCTGACACATAGCCCAGGAGGATTTGCCGTAAAAACTTCACATGAGTGGCCCAGAGTTCTGGGTGTGAGAGATTCTGAAATGATGGGAAAATCTGAGAATCTCAGAAAATCGACAGGGAAAAGTGAGTTTGAGAAAACAGCTGCAGAGGAAATCACCCAAGTACTACCAACGGAACTGCCAGATGATCCAGCAATGGAGACAATAACAACAGGAACAGAGGGAGAAATGACAGTGTCAGGGGACATGTCACAGAGCGAACCACAAGTGGCCTCCGGAGACCCCAAAAAAGAGAGAGACGTAACAGGGAAGATTGACACTATGAGGCTACCTGCAGATTTAGACGGAACTGTGAGCATTACAGTATTGCCAGAAAAGTCCCCAGAAAGCCAAGGTCATGTTTCAGGTAACATGCAGAATGTGGTCACTCTGACTTCCACAGAGAAAAGATGGTTAGCACTAAAGTTTGTGTGGGAAGCCTGTGAGGTTGCCAGTCTTATTCTGGGGACGTTACTTCTCATTGGTCAGCTGCTCTAAGAAGCGGTTTGTGGTACTAGAGGGAACACAGTCAAAGTAGCAGCTGGTCATTTATCAGATGTTGTCCCTTGGAAATTAGTTTGTCTGCTATAAATCTCAGAAGATGCCTAAGATGAAAGTTGACTTTGATCCTTTCCTTTCAGGCAATTTGCCACCAGGACATGCCGATGTGGACAGAAGACTACCCTCCATAGCTGGACCTCCAGGGCCAAGGGTAAGAAAACAATGTCTCTCACAGAAAAAGTGGCACAGCTTTGGCATGCAGAATTTATGGTTATTTGGGGGTTTGTCTTGGTCCTACTGTTCTGTTATGGGTGGCTTTACCTCACATCTCCAGAGTTGATGGTTTGAGTTCAGTCTAGAGTCTGTATCTGAAGTCTGCATTTTCTTCTCATGTCTGTGAGGTTTTCTCCTGCAGTCCAAGGACATGCAGTTAGGAATAGTGAGCAGCATAGTCAGAGTGTGCATGTCTGTGTCCTGTGATGGACTGGCATCCTATCTGGGGTGGTCCTCAGTCTTGTACCATGTGCTGCCCCCTGCAACACTAACCAGCATAAGCAGCTGGAAGAGGGGTGGATTATATATTAATTTATGATGTGTTGCTTCAAAACATACTTTATATTGTAAACAAGTTTAAGGTAAATTTGCAAATAACATGAACTGAGTTTGAAAAGCTAGTTAAAGCTATGAGTCTGGTGTGATGTTTTTTTCTTCTTCTATGAAGTCACCAAGGGTAATTTCCTGTAGTGTTCCTGTATCAAGGGTCATTTCCTGTAGTGAATATTTCTCTCTGATGGTTGTAAATCCATAACATTTTGTTGTGAGCTCCAGAGAATTCAAAGTCATATAAATCAAACGAAAAAGCAAAGCAGGAAAAAACAGTATTTTCGTGCACTTTCATGGTATGTTTACATCACTCAGTGTGATAAAATGAGATATCATTCTGGAGTGGAGTTCTCCTGAGCCCAGACTGGTTTCTCATTAACAATCAAGCTACTGGCAAAACTTGACCTCAAGATGCCTATTTCCCAGAATTTATTAAATAGAGGGTGCATTCTGACTGCATACTGTAGCGTCTCATAGCAACATGGCGATCTGGAGGAAACGTACAAGGAGAACAGCTTGTCACCCCTGCCCTCTTCTGGTGTTTTGGTGTTACTACAGCATTCGTGTCTTGGGGGCGCAAGACTAAAGCAGCCGACTTCTTTTGGCGACATTGACACAAGTTTGCTTTCGTGACTCACAGAAGCAAAAAATAAGTTCTTTAGTCTAACATTATATATTTCTTATTGTTTTGTATGTAATGTAATGTATAAAATGCGCAGTTACCTTACACCCCAAGGGTTTGGGGGTTGAATCCCACTTCTGGTCTGTGTGTAGAGCTCGTATATTCTTCTGAATCATCCGAGTTTCCTCTCTTAGGCCAAAGACCAAAGGCTAATGGGTGTCTCTGAATGGCCCTCCCTGCTGGGCCTTTAAATAATCATCTGTAAAATATATTTTTGTGAAAACATAATATAGTATTTGTGAATCACATAAAATCTTGTTACTTTTATCTTCCTAATTTTCTAAGTCAAAAACAATTTTACTTTCCCTCCCTATAACGGGAAAAATATGGTTTGGTCTGCCCTCTTAGTGCTGGTCAAACAAACTGCTGGTCTTTCCAAAAGCAATGCCTTACAACATAGAAATAGCAGCACAGTGGGCCTGGTCCGGGCTGTTGGTGCCCCCCTACCTTCTGCTCTAGGCTGGGCAGAAATATCTCAGAATTAACCCAGCAGTGACTGACAATAAAATCATTTTCAATAACAAAGTCAAGGCTTGATATTTAACATTAATATATCATGTCTATAGTGATTTAATGATGACTATTGTCCCTTTACCATGTTTTTCAGGGGCACCAGGGCCCTCCTGGACTACCTGGACCACCTGGGCAAAAAGGAGACAAAGTAGGTATAGTCAAAGAATTCCTGTTGTCAGCCACTGTTTGTTGCAAATACTTTAGTTGTAAACCAATCAAATGTTAGCTGTCTTCCTATTGGGTATAATTAATACCAAACAAAGTGACACAGATTTGTTCATTGGTTCTTCTTGATGCAGCCCTCATGACAAAGTGTCTTGGGATTGGTTCTTCTGTCTGACCCCAGGGCTACCCAGGAGTCATGGGCCAAACAGGGCATACAGGCTACCGGGGACCCGTTGGTCCTCCTGGAATGCCCGCCATCATCGTGTGGAAGACCTCTGTAGAAGAGTGGCAGGCCTTTAAGGTACCACTAGGTCATGTGTCTACAGACAAGTAGAGACAAACACACCTGTTTGAATGAACAGCTAAGAGCATCCTCTATGGACTGATATATCGGCCTGTCTTGATAATTTCATTAAGGAATCATCGCACGATATGTGGTTTCTTTTTCAAAAGCCTGATATGAAAAAGGCTTCAATATTGGAAAATTGTGTTTACGTAAGAATGAATGCCCCCAACATTTTAGCCATTCGCGCTGGGGTTGATTCATTCACGGGAAAGCATATGCGCCGCAATGCATGCAATGCAGTGCTGCACCATGCCTAGACCTGGATGTTCATACTCCTAGCACCAACACTGGTTTTAAAAGTCAAGTTTATTAAGTGTGGTATGGGTGTCATAAGAATAAATTATATTACAAAAACTAATGTGCACTATGTTCTTTCAGTACACAAGGCAGGGTTATAATCATCAACGAAAACATTTCAATAAACTGAAATAAAATAAGATGAGAAAACCACAAGTAAACTACAACTATAAATATTGGTTCCAAAACTGAGATAAAATCAAATGTCAAATACTTCCCCTTAACTTTTAACTACTTAAACAAAGTAATGATTTCATTGTTTGTCTTTGTGCATCTTGTCCTTATGTCTTATGCCATAAATAGCCAACGCCACCACTTTACCACATTTTGCAGTGGCCAGCAAAGTCTTACAACTTTCCATCTCTCCCTAGAAATAATATCACTAAAACCTAAAGTAAAATTTACAGCAACTAAATATATTTACATTTTTAAAATAAACACTAATGAACCCACACCTAAAACAAAACTAAATTTCAAATGAAAACAAAAAATCATATAAAAACTAAATTTAAAACATCAGAACAATAACACTGGCACAATAACATGCACAGGTATATGGCGTTACAGTACAAACATTTTTTAGTTCAGTTTGCAGCCATCTGGGAGTCTTTATAATCCTGCAGCGAGGAATCCAACAAATGTCGATATTTCCAGACTTACGCAATCAACCATTCTTCAAACCGGCTAGCCATTTTTGTTATCATTCTGATCATAAAGGGTAGAAAAGGAATTTTAAAAGTTATTTATATACAATATTTGGTCCGACTTTTCTGACTTTCTGTTCCTTTTTTTTAAGTTTTTTTTAATTAATGCTCAAAATGTAATTATTCAAACAAAAAGGCGCAAAACCATCCAGATAACATCCATAGTATGAAAAATATCTGAGCACAATGGAACTAAGATCAAAATTCTTCCAACAAATTAAAGTCCTCAACCAGCTGTAAATGTCTCACTGCAATTTTATTCTTCATGTGAACCAACACACCAAAAAAGGAGAGGAGTTCGTTGTGGAAAAAAGAAAAAATTGGGGTGTTCTTACGAATCTGCACTTATGGATGAAAAAATTTACTCAATAGCAAAATACAGTTAATAATAAGATTTACAACTTATTGTTCCATTTGCCCTGGCAGATAAACAATGGAATTTCATTCGCTTCACTGAGTGGAGCCTCTGCAAAACTGGGTCGGCAGCATATTGTCTGTAACAGAATGAATGACTCTTTATACCCCTGTGCCAAATGATTAATATATAATGCAATTTTTGTTAACAAAGCCTTGAGAATATTCTTGCATTATCATGTTATCATTATATCAGTGGTATAAAATTATCTTAAAATGACAGTAATATTATTTAGCGTAATTGTTTTTGAGACAATATATCGTCCAACAGAAGTTAACGTGACAGGCCGAATGCTATTTATATTGTGCACACAACTGTTTGCTAATTGGTTTCGTCATGTCCAATTTTATTACAGAATAATACATTTTACAGAAAGTTTGTTGCAGCCTGGCCGGTAAGTTTATTCTATGGATAACTTCTTTCTCTTTAAGTTCTTCTGCAATCATTGAGGTTTTAGGCACCAGGTATGACTTGGACTTCAGCAGCTTTTCAGTACCATCTGTCTATTGAGCTACACACTTACCATGTGGGAATTCAATGATCCATGTGGAGAAACTGATCCAATCAGTATTCACTTTGTCAGCTGACCAGACTGATTTGATCACCATATGGAGAATTCAGCATGATGACCCTCGGGCAAATCAGGAGGATGTTTCACACAGTAGGATTTCTTGCCTAGCCGGATAACTTGTTGGGTTTAAGGTAGTCTGGCCTAGATGGACTTTGTCTTTGTTCACTTTCATTTATCCCAGACTAAATCCAACAAGTTGTCTGGGTAAGCAAGAAATCCAGCTTCAGGTAACACCCCCTAAGGTTCTGGGCTAAGCCTCTGATGTCTTAAGACCCAAGCAACGTCCCTGGTGTAATTACTTCTTAGACCAAAAATTAGAGAATTATCTCAATGTAAAAAATATGAATCTAAAATATCCACTTAAATAACAAATAGTAAACATATGTGTTTATATGCATTATATACACTTATTGTGTGTTATCTTCAGAGAATGAAAGGGCCCCCAGGACATTTCGGACCCCAGGGGGATCCAGGGCCACCTGTAAGTATGATGACAATCATCTCAGGGGCATGATTGTGTTAATATGAAATTTTGGAAATATAGATTTTTTTTGATTAAAGCTCAAATTTTTGTGGACATTTAATTTCAGTAATATTTTGCTTTATACAAAAAAACATTCAGCTTCTGTCTCTCTTTCCAGGGGCCTCCAGGGGTACCTGGAAAACAGGGGAGCAAAGGAGATGGAGGGAAAATCGTAGGTATCTCTGTTTTCTTCAGTAACTAACCACACCTATATTATACTGCCATTGCTAATTCATGTTTCCTTCCCCCACCTGGCCAGGAAGTTTATATATCCTACTAGGGTGGAGGGTTTATATACCCTGCTGTGGGGGAGGGGTTATATACCCTGCTAGGGGTGAGGGGTTATATACCCTGCTAGGGGGGAGGGGGTATATACCCTGCTAGGGGTGAGGGGTTATATACCCTGCTGCGGGAGGGGGGGGGGGACCTCACAAAGGCAGTAAGATCCACCAGCAAGAGCAAATTTTGTGGAATCATGGGTCCAAAGTGCCCTTATTATTTCCCAAAAATAAAGTTTTGTTTTTTGTTTTTTTGCACATTTATTTGTCCTCTCTTCCTACATATTCCTACATAAGTTATTTCAGTTACACGATTACATAAAATGTACATGCGTCTGTGTCGGTCAGGGGCCACCGGGGCCCCCAGGAATTCCAGGGCCCTCAGGTAGACCGGGCAGAGATGGAATCCCAGGGACTGATGCTGTCGATAGTCCAGCTGGACCGTCAGGAATGAAGGTGAGAAACATGCACTTTCAGTATTCACAGTAATATATTCATATAGTGGTTGTGAATGTGAATGTCACTTAGTCAAACATGTGACCCTGCCAGTGTAATGTGCAGTTCAAGCCTATAGCATTGCTTTACACAGAATCACAATCCCAGTGATAGATCGATAAGTGGATAATTAACCATATGAAATACCGCAGATGCTAGTGGCTGATGTCACTATGACAGAGGACTCATATTCGCCATCTGCTACATTTACGCCTCCTGAATGCAAGCAGTGACTTCAGCTGTGCAGCAGTCACCAATCTGAAGGGTCTGAGTCTCAGCACATGCCTGTAGCAGGGTGGGCCGGCACTAAACATTGCAGATGGTGCTAATAGCACAGAATTGGACTGATGGAGGCTCACTGAACTTTGCTGAGTGATATTTTAAACACAGTTACCATAAAACATGCTTTGCTGCAATATTACTTCAAAGCAGGGAATGTTCTATTTGACAAAAAAATCTGTTTGACTGACCCACGCGTTTCTTCCTCCAGGGTCCGAGGGGCTACAGGGGCGAGATGGGCAGCAAAGGGGAGCCGGGTGAGTGGGTAAGACTGCACTTCATTTATTTGTGGATTTCACACTTCTCCTTGAGACTGCGATGATGGCCACCTTTGTAGAAGCTAAATACACCTTTTCTTTTTGGATCTACAAGGGCTAAAAGTTTATAGACAGTTTAGACTTAGGCCATATCTGCTCTTTCTTTGTCTAATGCCTTTCAAGCTTTCTTTACACTGAGAATTAATGCTAATGATTCATTTCTGCTGATAGATTGCAGTGTTTAAATGCATTGTCTCTCCATTTCAGGGTTACCAAGGAGAAACGGGGCCACAAGGAGACAAAGGGGCAAAAGGAGAGCAGGTCAGACCTGTGAACACCACAGTTGTTATTTGACAGTTTCTTTTTTCTTTGACAGTTAATGCAAATAGGCAAACCATTTGAAAACCCCACTGCAAAGTATAAAGCACACTGGGCCACATTCACCAACAGTGACTTGTTAAGAAGAAATTTCTTTATATTGCCATTTTTTTCATTCTACAATTGTATAATATAGGAGTTAAACTACAATAGTATTTTTATCCTTCATAATACAGCAAACGACCCAGCAATCTCATGCCCTTTCATGGGGATCAGCAGGGAGTTTACCTACACTACTTTGTAACTGGCACGCGTTTTTAATTAATGGGGACAACGGTATTCATCATTGTAAGAACACATTTGCAAACAATTATGCGTTGTGAATCTTATGTAGACATTTTTGAGAACTTTCTCAAGAACAAATTTAAGAAAACACTTAGGCCCGTTGTATACATATCTGTATATATACACATTTAATGATCTCTCAAGAATGTTTAATATTCTGAAACAACCGGGGACATGCAGAGATTCTGCGTTAATGAAATTTCCTAGCTGATTAAAAAAAAAAAAAAAAATCAGAACATCATTTTAATTTTATGAATATTACCCTGAATTCTGATACAATTGATAAGCTGAATTAGTTCTTAATTCATGAAGGCATCTTAGGCATCGAGACAGGACTGAAAACATTGAAGATAACCATTCCCAGCAGAATCTGTCATCCGTGTGAAGTCTGGGGAGCGGTGCCTTAATTCCTGCTGCTCTTTTGCGTCTGTAGGGGAAGAAGGGAGAGAGGGGCCTGCTCGGCATTATGGGAAACATGGTGAGAGTCAAGTCACACAGCACTCTTTCTCAGTCATGTACTGGAGAGCATGCCATCATATTACTTAAGATTAAATACAAAAGCGAAGCTAACACTCTGATATATGCATGAACAAATAAAGGTAAACATAGTATCCTGTCGTTGGTGGTGGCTCTGGTTTGAGAGCAGACACATGAAGATACTTGTCAAGAACTTGGGATATTCATGTATTATTGTGGATTCCGATCCCTCCTCCCAGTTTTCAGGGGGGAAAAATAACATAACTTTGATAAGTAGCATCCCTAAATAGGATTAAATACTGTGAAGTTCAAGCTCATAAAACTGTGTGGACCATCACAAACAACTCATAGCACGTGTTTGCTGCAGGTTGGAGTCCCATCACACGCGTGTGCATCCCTGTGCATGCACACGCGTGCTCCCACTGTCTCCCTTTATCTCATTTGTAGGTAGACAGAGTGAAATGCATGCATTCCTATTAGCTTACACATGGCTTTAAAAGGTTTCACTTAAATGAAGACCTACCAATTTAACGAAGGATAAATAACTCAAACACCGAGATCACTCTCTAAAACATTTTATTCAGAAACATCTATACTTGCTGCATTTGTAACTTCGTGCATTCTGTTTGTATTCTGCTGTTGCGGGTTTTGGGTTTTGAACAAGCTGAGAACAGAGCTGCTTAAATTGTGCCGGATGCAGGTTTAGTCACACAAACCAAAGCGGTATGCAATACAGCACACAAGCAACCCAGAAAAAAACAAAGATCTGTCACAGTGTTCTTTCAAATAGCAAGTAATGAAAATTCTATATAGGCTTAACCTATACCAAGCCTATGTCGGATTCAATTGTCAACATAATTTCCCCATTTCTCTGACAGGTTAATTTATGTTACTGCAACAAAGAAAACGACTTCACCCAAGTTTGAGCTAACATTAAATTATGTCTGTTAGAGTAAAGCTATAAATGTATGAATGCGTCCTCACATAATATGTAACATTACAGAATACTGGGGCTGAGTAAATATAAGCTTGCAGAAATCTGTTGTTTAGGCTATTGTATAATAGGCCATTTCTGGGTGATTGGCAGCTCCATACCAGCCAACAGTGTAACATTTTATATGTCAAACTAAATGTTTAGTATATTAAATCACGCCAAGTGCCTCATCAAGCATGGCCGGATAAGCTTAAGAGTTGAGACCTTGTGCTCACTGTTTGGTCCCCCACCCACTTCAAAAATCTCTCCTGTGCCCCCGCCCAAGACTAACTTCCTTGTGTTTTCCAGGGGCTGCCTGGAGCTAGAGGCCCCCCAGGATTTATGGGAATGCCTGGCACCATGGTGAGCACCACATTTCCCACCCTGCTTAACCTGCTTCTCATATCAGCAAATAATTGTATTATTCCGAATGGTTTTCTTAAAGGGCGAAACTGGACCGCCTGGATTCACCGGACCACCAGGACCTCCTGTAAGGCCCACTTTTTCATCCCCTTTTTTATAAATAACACTCTACCATTTACCCCTTATTCAACCAATCAAATGCCAATCTGCCCAATATTTTTTAGGGAATCATGGGGCCAAGAGGGATAAGGGGAGTCCCAGGCGTCAGCGGGGCCCCGGTAAGAGCTGAATAAGCAATAAAAGCCGCCGGACACGAGCCAGTATTTCATCACCAACGAACGTGTGACTGTGTTTTAGGGCCAGCCGGGATTTCGAGGACCCAGGGGACCAGCTGCCCCCCCAGTGAGTATTATCATTTTCACCAACACTCATGTGTGCAACCATCGCATTGCATCACTCAGTTCTTCTTCTGCATGCTCCATTTTGCACACTGAAAGTCAAAATAGTCAAGCCACTTGATAGGGAGGTTTAGGGAAATTATGACAACCAAGCTTCATAATAAGTCTCTTAAATTTAAAGTCAAATGCTGGTTTTAACAATGCACTAGTCAGATTATGTGCCCAACAAAGCCCTCCTGACTTAGTGTGAACTAAATTGCATTTAACTTGGAAATGCAGTGTAATATTGCCTGTTGTACCATTGTAATGGACCTGAAATATATACACTGTATTAGGTGAAGGGCTCGTTTTAAAGTACCCTGCTGTTTCAACGTGACTGTGATTACAACTGTACCTTTACGTAGGGAGAACCCGGCTTGGATGGTATGGTCGGATTTTCTGGAGTACAAGGGCCACAGGTAATTACAATTACATTGCCTTATTAATTACCTTGTTCCACAGGAATATTTCACTTCAAACATTTTGTGAAGATAAAAATGACAGAAAGAAATAATTTCATTCATTTACACTCTAAAAGGGCTGTTTTACTAAAACCCACTGATGATTTTAAGGTAGAAAATGTATACTGTATACTGTGTATACGGTATGCTATAAGAAAACATGCAGACACGTATGTACTGTAGTTATACATGCATACTGCTGCTTCTTGACACTTTCCTGATTGACTGATATAGGCTGTATATGCTATTCTGGAGAATCCCTGCAGTGATTTTGTACCTTTAGCTGTCCACTCTACCTGAGTAGCTGTAGACACTAAAACAGGATGCACTGTTTTTTAAATGGAAGTTTACATAAGAAATACATTTTTCCTATGTAGTGTTTCTTGATTTTCCTGTTTTGCATTTTAGATCATCAATGGTGGGATGTTTTACACTCATAGTTCATACTATTGTTCATAACATATGAAAATAACAAAATAACTTTTGTTCAATATGGTAATTATTGGCAATGTGAAATATATTGACAGTTTGGCTTTTTTGTAACACCACAGGGCAAATCGGGCGAGGAAGGTCCCCCCGGTAACAAAGGAGATCAAGCAAGTGTTTTTCCACCCTGTATATGTTAAACTGCACTGATTACGCCAGTATAAGGTGTATTATGCTGGCATTGTATCCAGGACAATATAGTGTTATACAGTACAATATAGTGTGCAGTGGCGGTGGTGGGGGGGGATGGCGTCAGATTATAGATTTTTATCCATTTCTGGGAAAGTTGTGGCATTTAATCCTGTATCTTAATTATATGGAATTTAATCCTGTATTGTAATTGTATCACTATTGGTCCCTTAACCCACGATCGCCCCAAGGGCGCTGGAAGCTGGCTAACCCTAACCCTAACCCTCTGACCCCAAAACTTGCTCTTATCTATGCCTGTCATGGAGGGTAAGATGAGATGAGTGAAACCTACACAATATCCCTACGGGAATGTATAAAGTATGTCTATTTGATATGTCAATGGAAACCCCAAACTGTAGGCTTTAGAAAATGTCAGGGTTGATGGGCTCCTCTGTGTTTCTTCAGGGAGGACCAGGTGATGAGGGAGACATAGGGGAACCTGGACTCCCTGGTGACAATGTGAGCTCCTGGGGGTCTTTCCACCACCGTCCCACACATACATGAAGTTTGCGGGAGCCTTCATCCCCAATGTCTTCTGTGAGCTCTGAATGGGAAGCTGCAAATCCATTCAAGCAGGGCTGATCAAAAGCTTCCCAGGAGCCCTATGCACGGATGACTGATGTACACACATTCCGTTTGTTTTGGGTGATGTGTGTCTGACGCTTTTCCAGCTACCTTGTTTTCCCTGTGATTTCCAGGGAGCCAATGGCCAAGCAGGAAAACCAGGACCCTCAGGTGATCCAGTAAGATTCCTTAATGCACTTCTTTCCCCTTTCCATGCTTCCTTTGCATTATTAATAGCTGGGGGTCTCATGAAAGGTTCCATGAAAGCAGTTCAGTGACATATTCCCAGTGAAAAATAATTTTATTTAAGTATAAAATAGAAAATGGCTACATAAGAAAGCTGATGGTTCAGAAACGGAGTATTTCTATATTCCACACTTCTGACGTCAGGCTGCAGGGCTGCACTTAGAGTATTGGCACATGCTTAATTTCATGCATATAATTTTGTTTAGAATATTATACTGCATCTCTGCAGCATACAGTACATTTCATTTCAGTCAAATCACCTCAATCTTTCATACACTGTGGAATGAAATCACCCTTCAACTAAATGTTTCATTTAGCACAGTGCCACAAAGCAATTATATAACAGTAGATTCTGACATAAATTTTCATGCAAATAAATTAGGAGATTTATGCACGTATCACTCAGTGCATTACAAAATGGCAAACACTGCAAAACGCTGCCTTGAGTTATTTAGATGTGTTATATATTTTCTGATCCTAAAATGAGCCTCTTCACCCCCCGGCCCCCACGATCACCACAACCTCAGTCATACACTGAGTTCATTGCTGCCCTAAGTCCAATCTTACTATTCAACTATGATTTCAGTTTTATTTATAATGGGTTAGTTCATGGGTTAGTTATTGGACTTGAAAACATTGACTGGAACACCGTGGTGGAATTTATGGTGATGGCAGATAAATCCTGTTACTTGATATTGCAGCTTTGCTGTATTAAATTCATTTGTGTCTTTCTGAAGACGCCAACGGATGCTGAACAAATATCAAGAGTCGACGATGTTTGTGTTTTCAACCTCCCTCAGCTCTGCCGCTGTCTTTTTTTACGTCACTTTGACCCCTGAGCTGGATTAATGAACCATTTATCCTAGGCAAGCTCAAGGGGGATCTTGGCCCTATCCTGGCAGGATTAGTGAAATAAATAGTTCCATGCTATGTTGGATTAGCATATTGAAATAGAAATGGAAAATAGAATGTTTTGTACACTCTCTGATTAGCCAAAACATTAAGCCCAACCCCACGTGATGTGAATAATTTTTAATTGAATTGTGTCTCTCAAGGTCTGGGATATGTTACATGGTAAGCCAACATTTGGTACTCAGTGTATTGAATGCAGGAGAACCGGGCAGGAATAGACCTGAGTCACTTTAATAAGGGTCAAATCGTTATGGCCAGACGACTGGGTAAGAGCATCCCCGAAACAGCAAGGCCGGAGGGTTGCTCATGGTCAGCCATGGTGACTACCTGCTGAGAGTGGTTAGGCGGATAAGACCTGTCAGTGCAACATGTGAGCGAAGGCGTGTTCCATTTGGTACGAACCAGCAGAAGGGCAACTGTGGCACAAATGGCAGATAATTTTGATGATGGTCAGGGGACTAATGTGTCTCGACACACAGTGTGTATAAGGCTACATAGCTGCGGATTGGACTTGTAGGTCCAACACACCCCGCAGATGCTTGACACATAGTCTGGTGTAGCTGGTGCCAGTATGGACACCTTGAGGAACCATTTGACAGGCTTCAAGATAATATTGAGGGATATAACTAAAATCCAGAATTTATTTAATGGAAAGGAAACCCCTGTTTCCAAAAAAAAGTTACCCCCTTTTATGGCTGTTGTCTTACTCCTCAGGAAAAAGTTTGGTCAGATATGATTTTCTGAATATTTCTGGCAAAGAATGGCATTAGATCTTCAGGTTTTGAGAACACCACGGTATGGGTACGGGAATGGTGGGGAAAAATATGTTGACATGGGGAAAACATAATCCACCCCTTGCAGTTCATGACTATGTAAACAGTCCCTTGGGGTCTTGTCCTTTGTTAAGGGCCCTTTATATCTGTGTTTGGTATACACGTGCCTCTCAGTGCTTTCTGGATTCACCTTCAGGGACCCAAAGGCCAGAAGGCCCAAAAGGGTGAACCTGGGATACAGGGAGACCAGGTAAGACGTGTCCTATTAACTACACACTGTGGTACTGATTTTTATGTATGTCTATGAGCGTGATACTAAGATTGCAGAAATAAATTATATACTTTGTTCAATGCCACTTAATGTTGATAGAAATAAGTATTTTAAAATGGCTCTCTGAATTATAAGTCTGCATGAACCCCAAAGAAAATTATATTGAGTTTATCATGTTTTGTATGTTTTCAGAATAGCTACTCTATTCTCTCATTAAGAGTACCTTTTCTTTACGTTCTTGTTTTTTGTGACAGGGACTTCCTGGACTTCCGGGTAAAAGAGGGTTCAAAGGCAGGGGAGGACCATCTGGTTTCCAAGGTGACACAGGGCGTCACGGTGACCGGGGACAGACAGGCACCAAGGTGAGTGAGGTTTCCTTCCTGAGGGCCCAAGAGGGGATGTGTGTTGGATGCTCCCAGATGCTTTTCTGTTGGAATTTAATGAAGTGTATTCATACTCTGTAGGGCTATGATGGGACAATGGGGGAGCAAGGGAAGCAGGGACAGGATGGGCTTAAGGTCAGTGTACCTACTGAGATGGTCCAAAACACAACTGCTAAAAAATTTAGTATTTGGAAAAGTCCACAAATCTGTCCTGCATGATTTGGCGATATTTGCCCAAACTTCTCTCTGTAGGGTGACAGGGGTCGACAAGGTATACAGGGAATTCCTGGCTCCAGAGGTGAAAAGGTAGAAACATGTATCTAAATGACTGTGGGTCATTATTCATGATTTCATTTGACAGGAGTCAACATGTAGATGAAGCTGCATTTTCACTAAAGAGAAGGGCGTCTTAGGAAAGTCTTTTACAGATTGACGAACGACTTCATAGCCACGCATGACTGCAGGCTGATTTGTCCAACTTCTCCCACAGGGTCGTCCAGGCCGTGGAGGATTTGCTGGTTTGCCTGGCCCCTTGGTAAGAGAGAAACTACTGATGCCTTCATCAGTGTCCAACTTTATTGAGAAAGCAATAACATGTGTAACTGACTCAAAGCTTTACGATGTTTCCAGGGAGAGATGGGGAAATCAGGACAAAGAGGACCTGAAGGAGATCCCGGTATTAAGGTTCCTGTGTACCTTAGCTTGTTACTTTATTTTTAATCTATCAATGAATGACTAATATGAGTTTGACAACTAAGGATAACAGTCATTTGCAGGGTTCAGTGCTCACATTTGTACATTAAGAGGAATTTCATTTCATTTCAATTTAAATAATAAAATTTATTTAACCGACACTTTTACCCAAACTGGCCTACGGAAAAAAATTAAAAATAAATAAAAATCCATTCCATCACAGACACAGCATCCTAACTGACTGAGCCACACACCATCCCTGGTGTCCTTGAACTGGGGGGCACCAAAGCATGTGGATATTTTTATAGTTATTATAATTATTTACTTCATGATTAATCCAGCAGCCTTGACTAAAAAGATCTTTGTATTTCTTAGGGAAAGCCAGGACTTCCAGGTTTGCCTGGAGCTTGGCGGCTCAAGGTGCATCCATGTTGTTCTGATTTCTGATTGGTTGAACTGATTCAATTGATTTCATTGATGCAACTGTTGATAGGGAACAGAAAAATAAACAAAATCTTGGGAATCATAGAGATATTGTGTCAGAAAATATGCAATTCCAAGTCCACTGTAAAAATATTTAACATGTGATTTTTATTTACTGCCTTTTACTTAAGGGATTGCAAGGTCTCCCTGGGATTCAAGGTGCTGATGGACTACATGGAGCACCAGTAAGATCCTGAAATGTCGTCCTGGGGTGAAAGTTGCCATATGCCGATTTAACAATGAAATGAGTCTCTCCTCCAGGGGCCTGTTGGAGAACCAGGTTTAGTTGGAGAAACCGGACCTCCAGGTCCAAAGGTAGTCTTCTATTAGCATTGTTACCACTTTTTAAAATTTTCAGTACCATTTCCCAATTGTGTAACTGCAAGTGCATATCATAAAAAAAGAATGTGATGTGAAGAAATTTTATCAAGGGGTTACCCTACACATAATGCATTTACGTGTTGACTACTGCATGAAAGTTACTTTAATTGCTTATAAATAATAATGGTTTGGTGGACAATAAATTCAGTGATACAGATGAAAACATATTCTCTTTAGTGCTTTGTTAAGTAGCAAATTATTTAAAGTAGATAACTCTCCTAATTTGAGTACTACTTGGTCCTGTTGGCTTGTAATTAACAGGGTGTTGAGGGGAAGCCTGGAGCTGCTGGACGTCAAGGTCCTGTTGGGAATATTGTGAGTAGACAAATCCTGCCATCACTTTAACTTTAATATAATTTTAATTTTCCAATATTTTTAATACTGAGTCAGAAATGGGTGGTATTGTTATTGTTATTTAATGATACAGGTATCCCCCATATGAAAGTAGAGCATTCCTATGAAACCTTCCATAGGCTGAAATGACGCAAAGTGAGGAAACAATTACCATTAACTTATATTGGGAAAACTTTTGAGCATTCCCTGACCCAAAAATATAACCTACCAAATCATACCAAGTAACACACGAAACCTAAAATAACACTAACATATAGTGAAAGCAGGAGTGATATGATAAATACGCAGTCTGCATAAAGTAGAAATGATGCATCAGTGTAATTTCACATACCAGAATCAATACAGTCATGCATCGCTTAATGACAAGGA